ATTGAAAGCCTGGAGAAGAAGCTTGAGATTAAGTACTTTGATATCTAAAATTATGATATTCCAGCCTCTTTCCCATGCAATGATCAAAGATCTTAGGGAATGTATAAATGCATGAAAGATTAAAGGAAAGCTTTTGTTATAATAATAAATTAAGTGCTTAATTATTTTTAGTGGGGAAAATAAGATCATAGTAATACAAATTTAAATAAGAAAGAGTTCCCATGTTTATATAGAGGATAAATCATGGTAGGTATAATATTGTATTGTTTGAAGAAATCCTGACTTGAAAGTTGAAATCATATAACCTCATTAAATTTTTTCCTATTAAAAGACCAAGATTTGCAGAAATGAAAGATACTCTATTTCCTTCAAAATCTGAACTAAGTAAAAAGATTACTTACATAAAGTAATGGGTAAAATTTTGGTCTTATGATTTTACGCTTTTGAAAGTTTGGAATTGTGTTTTGCAGAATATAGAAAGATTAGCACACAAATTGGAGCAAAATAGGGGATCTGAAAAAAATCAAGCCGGCGTAGCCACACCTAGATCTAGCGCGGCCACGCCGTTTGTGCGGCGTAGTCACGCCTACAATGTTTCGTGCAGAAAGTGGGAGGAAGATGAAAGTATATTTCATAGTGTTGCTATATACAATACCTTCTTACGGTTAACCGTGAACAGTACTAATATATATAGGGATAAATAGAAAGTTCTAGAGAGGGTAAGTGGTCCCAGATTGGTTGTAATATAATGATAGGGGAGAGAGGAGAATATCACCTGATATATTTAGTATGATATGGTTGTTATGAAATTATGATAGCTGCATTTATTATTAAACAAGTGATGCTTTCAATTGAAATCCAATCATGAAGATCTGAAACTTAAATCTTAATTTTAATAAAGTCTCATGAGACAAGCTTATGATCCAGAGATTCAAGCTCAAATTGAGCTATCTATAATTCTGCCTGTCAGCTCATTCATGCGCCAAAAATAAATACATAAATTGATATCGGACACATTTAATATAGATGAAATGCTCAGATCTGGGGGAAGTTTAAGAACATAAGCGTTATCATTGATGTATTTGCTAATAGGAAAAGGTCAAATCTTGCGGGGGTTCGATTTTGAATATACTCTTTGTGGGAGTTGATCTTTGTGATATCGCACCACCACTAATTCGCCTTCCTGAAATGTCTTCGGCCTCTGGGTTCTATCAGCTTGTTCTTTGTAATGTTGTGATGCAATTGTGAGCTTATCATTGACTTCTCGCAGCATAGATTCAAAATTGTTCACCCAAGTTTCAACACTGTTGCTTTTTGGTTTCGGAATGATGGCAACATCCACTAAGTGATTTGGTTCTTTAGTATAAAAAAATGCTGATGGGAGAATGAGCCGTGGAACGATTAACTAAAGAATTAAAAGTAAATTATGCTTGCCCCAAATATTCTTCCCACTATTTCGGTTGACAACTTGTAAGACAACGGATCATATTTCCTAAAGATCGATTGACGAATTTAGTTTGCCCATCCGTTTAGGGATGATATGTTGAACTCAATCTAGATCGGTCTTGAGTCGTTTCCACAGTTCCCTCCAGAAAAAACTTATGAAGCTAACGTCACAATCAGATGTAATGCTCTTTGGGATGCCATGTAGGCGTTCAATCTCTTTAAAGAAGAGTTTAGCAATGTTAAAAGCATCATAAGTCATCTTACAAGCCATGAAATGAGTCATTTTAACAAGTCGATCAACAACTAACATGACAAAATTTGATCTGTGTTTCGTGCGAGGTAGGCCCAAAATGAAATCAATGCTAACATCCTCCCAAATGGAATCTAGAATAGGTAATGGTACGTAAAGCCCGATATTCTAACTCATACCTTTATAACGTTGACACATCGAGCACTTTTCCAGGAACTCACGCACGTCTCTTCTCAATTTGGGCGAAAAGAATTTAGATTGCAGGACAAGTATAAGGGTTTGATCCCTGCCCGCATGAGCTGTCAATCCTCCTCTGTGACAATCTTGAATAATTTGTTGTCTAAGGGTCTGTTTGGGGCAACTGTAACTTATTAAATAATTTACTGATAAGCTGATTAAAAATAATCTGTTGATAAGCTAAGTGCAGTGACTATTAGAAATTTTTATTTTTTTGGAAAAACTAGACCGCTGTCAAAAAACTGTCACCGCACCTAGATAGGTGCGGTGTGAAAACGCTACTTTCAGTGTTTTCAAAACGCATAAGCTGCCAAAACGCAGTTTACCCAAACAGTCCAGATGCGTTTTCAAAACGCCACCGCACCAAATAAGCTGCCTCAAACGGACCTTAAGTGTTAGGAACACACAATCGGTTGCCCTTGAAAAGGTAACCTTGTTGAATGGAATAATCGCTTTGTGGAGAGTGTTTCTTACAATTCATCCAAGCAATAGAGAAATCTCATCGTCATGGTATAAATCTTGCAAACTTTCCATAACTGTGATCCTAACTTGAACCATGACCAACGAGCTTGCTCGGTGACTCAAAGCGTCAGCTAGACAGTTGGTGTGATGGCACAGTGTTTTACCACAAAATTGAATTTATGTAAAAACAAAACCAATTGTACATGCCTTCGATTGAGATTTTTCTGCGATTGAAAGAATTATAAAGGTTGATGATCACTAAATTTGATGAATTCCTGATACAAATAACTACATGTAGTTTTTGTTCATACGTAGACTACCTTTGGCGTGTAGTGCTCGGCTTTCGCTAAAGAACTCCACTAGTTTTTCTTCTTGTGATAGAATTGCACTAATTCCTATTATCGAGGCATCATTTTTAACTGGAAAGGGCTTTCAAAATCAGGTATACCAAGCATAGGAATTAAACTTAAATGTTTTTCTCAAATTAAGAAAGCTCCCTTTTTGTTCTTGACCCCAATAAAAATTTTTCCATTTAAGGCATTCAGTTAACGGTGCCGCAATAGTACTAAAATTCCATATAAAACGTCTGTAAAAGTTGACAATTGCATGAAAACTACGAACTTCCATAATTCACTATTCTGTTGGCCACGATTGAAAAACCTCTACCTTCTTAGGATCCACCTTTACGTCTACTTGCCCTATAATAAAGCCTAGGAAATGAACTTCCGTTAAAGCAAATTCACACTTCTCTAAATTCAAAAATAGTTTATGATCTCAAAGAGTGGTGAACAATGACTTCAAATGTCCCAATTATTCTTCTAGCGATTTACTATATATAAGAATATCGTCAAAATAGACGACACAACATCGATCAATAAAAGTTTTCAAAATTTCATGCATTAGCCTCATGAAAGTACTTGGAGTGTTGCACAAACCAAAAGACATCACTTGTCATTCATATAGAGCTTCCCTATTTTTGAATGTTGTTTTCCATTCGTCACACGAGCGAATACAGATTTGATGGTACCCACTCCTCAAGTCCAATGTGGAGAAAATGATAGCCTCTACAAGTTTATCTAATAAATCTTCGATACGAGACATTGGATAACAAAATTTTACTGTGATCTTATTGATGGCGTGGTTGTCTATACACCTCCTCGAAAAAATATCTTTCTTGGGCATGATCAATGTCGGTACCGCGCAAGGACTCAAGCTATAGCGGATAAAGTTCTTCTATAATAAATCTTCTAAAATCTCTTGAAATTACTGGTGTTCCTTGGGACTCATGCGGTAGTAGGCAAGATTTGGTAAAGTAGATCCAGGAATTAGATCAATATGATGTTGAATTGCTCTCATAGAAGGTAGTTGATTAGGCAAATCAGTGGGTGTAATGTCTAGAAAGAACTTGATGAGGGCTTGGATTGAAAGGTGCACCTGTTTCGGAGTTTCATTTTGTTCAACCCATAAAACAACATATGCCACCTTTACTTGTGACAGGTTGTCAACCATTGTGAACCCAAGACAACTAAATAAGCAGATTTTTCAGACTTTTCGGCGGTGTTATGGGTTGAAGACGGTGTCTAAGTCAGCAACCTATTCTTCTAGTTATTCCACTCAAAAGTGTAAGCATTCAATCGACCATCGTACCAAACGCCCATGTCGAATTGGCAAGGTTTACCCAAAATTTGATGACACACATCCATCTCCATGACATCATAATCAACTTCATGAATAAAATTTTTCCCAATAGAAAATGTCATTTTACATAATTCGGCCACCATAACCTCAACTCCTTTTTTAATCCAACTAAATTTGAATGGCTTAGGATGTTTGATGGTTTTTAGTTGGAGTGCCTTTGTGATAGATTTAGATATCACACTCTTAGTACACCCGCTATCAACAATCAATCGGCATACTTTACCTTTGACAATGCATTTGGTCTGAAAGATAGCATTCCGTTGTGATTGATTGGTTGTATCGGGGCAAGTAGCACCTTCTACAAAATAATTTATGATTTCTCCTTCATCTGTCGGAATTTCTTCCACTTCAGCTCCATGGAATGGGCCATGATTGGAACATTCATCATCGCTTTCTAAATCCCCCTCTGCTACCTGAATTTGCTTTCGATTTGGACATTCATTAGATCGATAAAGACTATCTTTATGTGTCATTGTTTTGCCAATGGCTTCATCATCTCCTCCACTTGAAGTGGCGGCCGAGTTGGTCGTAGGCATAGGGAAAATCAGTTGTTCTGAGGAAGGCCTTTACCACCATCTACGAAAGATTCAACAACTAGATTTCGATGGTTAAACGATCTGGAGTCCGGTTTAATTGAAGTTTAGTCTTGGATGCATGCTTGCGACAACGAACATACTGCATTCATTTCCAATGTTTCTAGTATAGCCTCCTTCAATCCTGCAATATAGCTAGGTAGATCGTTACGGTCACTAAGACAGTGGAATTCCTCAGTGTAAGCACTAACGGAACGGTTCCCTTGAGTGCATTTCTGGAATTGCACAAATAAAATATTGTCATAATTGGAAGGTAAAAATGATTATGCATAAGCTGCTTCATCCGAACCCAACTATTAAGAGGTCTTCTTCCATCTCTTTGGTGAGATTGGACTACTTGATGCCACCAAGTCCCCGCTCCACCTTTCAATCTACAAGCAATGCATCGCACTTGCTTTTCTGAATTCACATCCATGTATTCGAAGAAAGCTTCCACGGCTTGCTCCCAATCCATGTAATCATCAATATGATGGTGGTCGTCGAAGTAAAGAATATCAAGCTTTACTTTGCAGCCATTGTAAATTCGATCCCTACCCGGTTGGCCGCGGTTTGGAATTTCGTCGAGCAGCCCGTTGTCATTCGATCCAGATTCAGAAATATTCAATCGTTGTTGTTGTCCTCTTCCTCTGTCGTTAGTGTGGGTGCCATGACCACCGGTGTGGTTGCCGGAATCGCCAATCCTTCATTGCGAAGCAGTTGATGTTCCTGCCGAATATCAGCAACAAAAAGTTGCATATCAGCAGCGAGTTGATCCACCCTCGCTCGAGGAGAGTCTCTGAGTTTCGCAAATCATCCCAGCTCCAATCGTCGTCGGCCGTGGAGGTTCTGCTGCAGTCTACCACACCGAGCTCTGATACCAATCTAGTTCAGAACCTATGGATCAAATACTAAGAACAGACGAGACAAGGAAGCAAAAGAAGAAGATGAAACAGAAATTTCTGTAATTCCAAAATGAAGAAATATCAAAAGTGTTCTACCACCTCAACCTCCACTCCCCTATAGCAGAGGAGCAGCGTTGACAGGTAATTAAGAAAATAAAAATAGCATAAGTGGTCTATTAGCAAATAACTAAGGCAGGAAAATAAAGATAAGCAGCTATGTGTATCTGGGAGGTTCTCATCCAGTTCTGGAATAGCCGCATCAACTGACAACTAGAATCAATTTTGTCTAAATAACCAGGCACAATGGGTTCAAATATACAAAAAGTCGTCTTTACAGCTCTGTCACCTTTGGTTAACCTTCTCTCAAACATTTGTACAGAAAAGCTTCCATTTTGAAATGACAATATACATGAAAGCATACTGTCACAACCAAAAAGGGAATAAGGAAATAAAAACAGCAAAATAATATCTTTAAGAGCAAGGTAACATTATATTCCATCAGTTCCATGCAAAAGAATTTCTCATTAAACATGTATTACAAAGATTACTACAAAGACTGAAAACATGCTTTGAAATTTCATTCCAGTAAACTTTTTGTGATTCACATAATTTCTGTAGCATACCAGTGCAAAACCCTAAACTAGAGCAATAAGCTAACATCAGTGAATCCAATACACATCAATACAGAAAGGGTATCAGCTTATAACTGACCTTTTTCCTGTACTCCTCGTACATGTCACCAAAGCTTTCCACCAAAATGGCCTCCTCCAACTCGGCCTTCTTGCCATAATACGCCAAGCAAACCACCACCAAGAACAGTAAACTAAGCGGCGCCCTCAGAGTGATGCAATGTATAGCAAACAACAGCATCGTCGATGCATATATAGGATGCCTCACCCACCTATACGGTCCAAACTGGACAACAGTCGTCGGCACAGAAACTTTCTCTGAATACTTTGCCAGATACAGAACAGAATGATACCGCAAGAACAGTGCAGTGGCAATCAGAACACAAATACTAAAATTTGCCCATCCGCCTGAAATTAGATGCAGCTCAACACCCTCATACGCCGCAAGCCAGTGTCCAATCAGCACAAGAACAAAAAATCCGATCTGCAATGACTTGGGGAGGCCGATATCCCATTTGGCGTCGTGGTCCCGATTCAATAGATCGCCGTAGAGGCGCTTGCGTACACTAGACTCGAAGAAGAAGAAGTAATGGTACACGAAAAAGAGAACAAATGGCCAGCCTTCCAAGAACCCATTGAAGTGCGCCGGAGGGACAAGAGTTAGCCAGGCGACGGTGGAGGTGACGATGGCGAGCTGCTCGACAATGGTGGCCTGACCGATGGAGTAGCGAGTGGCGGAATATAGGCCGTAGAAAGCGAGAGAGAAAGCGAGGACCCAAGGCCAGAAGAGCCAGGTCCAGCTAAAGTACAACCAGAAGAAGGGACTGAAGAGAATTTCGGCGGTCTTCTTTGCGGCGGTGATGATGAATGCAACGACGGCAGAGTACCTGCAGATGGTGAGGGGGGTTAGATGGGAGAAATCGAGGGGAGGTAATCGCGACAGTGTTGGGATTTTTGGGGGTGGAGAAAAGGCAATGGAGCTGGAGAGTGAGCATGGTGTGAGGGTAAGGTGTTTGCAGTTATGCCTGAAAGACCGTGGAAGGGTGGGCTTAAGAATTATAGACAGGGAGTGATGAGGAAACGGGGAGGGGATGGCAATGTGAGGAGAGAAGCGGAGGTGGGAAGCGGTCGGAATGGGAGGAGAAGCAGTGAGGAGGCGATTAGCTGTTCCTATCGCCATGAGACTGAAAGTGATGAGAGAGCTTTGTAACCTGTGTTAGGAAAACTTCAAAGTAATCGGATGCCCAACCTAACCGGTACAAATTTTGAATTTTATATATACTCTACTTTTGTTCGTGTTTTAATGGAGGTTTTACAAGATATTCTAGATAATTTACGTATTGTTGAATTAAAGAATTGTACGAGAAACACATCAAAGGCATGGAGCTTTTTTGCAGGAAAAATTAGAAGAAAATATAATAGAGAATAGTAAGAATGGGTAGTCCTTATTCAATATATAGACCATTTATTTATAGGAATAAGTTCAAATTTTATAAAATTGCATATCACTCCCCTTATTATTAACTTTTTCGATGGGTCTTTTTGTAATTAATATAATAAGGTTGGAGGGTCAATTCGGTCGGCTAGAGCTTCGTTGTCGCTTCCCCCATCACGATTGTCGGTGCTTGATCTGTCAAACCTATGACCTTGGGGATGGACCGAATCGGGCAAAAATCGTTTCCTGGGGTCTAATACAACCTGAATGGTCTAAAATCCAATTTTGCACCTCGATGTCCGTGGGAAGGTTTCCACTGATCCGGAGCAACGGGAAACCTCGTATCTTAAAGATGAATATTCCGGAAGTTTCAATGCACGGATTTTAGCGCCAATAAATGTCCCAGATCCCCTCGCAGATTGGTTGATATGAACCCTAATTTTTCCCAACACTCGTTCGAGAGAGTTTTGCGGCTACCCTTAACAACGGGAGGCTCTGAATGTTATATTTTTATTTATGACTCACATTTATTTTAATAACTTATGAGATTTATTTTTGATAACTTAAGTTATTAATTTTCATAACTCATAACTTATGTCATAAATTATGACAACTTATGATATTTATTTTGATAACTTAAGTTATTTATTTTCTTAACTCATAACTTATGTCATAATTTATGATAACTTATGATATTTATTTTTGTAACTGTATAACCCTAAAATAAATAAATGTTACTAACTTATGTCATTGATTTTATTAATAAAAATCAATTAATTTATTAAATTATCATAAATCCTATTGGTTAGTAACCCCCTTGATGGATGGTGGATAAATAGAGCATGAATTTGAGAATGGGTCCTCTCTCTATCCAACACACCTCGTACATTTCTCTCCATCAGAAAGTACAGAAAGTTTTAAGGGATTAGAGAGAGAAACTCCATCTCTTCAAGATCAAATTTGTTCATCATGAATACAGGTATGCGTCGCTTTATTTTTTTCATATGTAAAAATCATGAATTTAAAAGATCTTGGCTATTATGTACTTTTCTTTTATAATTTGTGTATAAAGTTGAAACATGAATTTTCTAACACTGAATGGATGGAGTATAGTCTTTAAATACGAGAATAGACATTAAACAAGTCTCATGTCATAATTATTATCACCCACCGATAAGTTACCACAGATAGCACTGAATCGACACCTACCCTGGACTTGTGCTCGAAACACGTATCAGGTCTGACCGGATGTCTTGGACTGCGGTAGACCGAACAAAATCTTATATTGTTCAAGTGGACACCCTACACAAATGACATCAAAAGTGATGTCAATAATTCTTATCGGCGTATTTTTCTTATAAACATGTTTATTATCTATTGCTTGAATATCCTATGGTTCGATCGGCTAGGCTAGCATGACTTTGGCTCAGTAAAGTCGATTTGGTTGGACATGCCGAGTGAGTACAACCAACCTGTTGGGCTTAATTAGCTTCAAATCAATATGACTAAATCAGCTTGACTTTGTTGATCAGTTTATCTAATCTGACTATCGAACCTCATTCCCTAGGTGCAACAGAGCTCATGTTGGCATCGAGGAAAGAGTGAATCATCATAACATGATAAATAGTTCAATCCTTAACGGAGATATCCATTGGGATGTTTGTGAGGTTCAATTGTATTGTCAATTCTTGGTCAAGACAAAGAACCTCGAGGGCCTCCATGGGACGCCTATTGATGGCGAGAAACTTAATTCTTTCTTTGGGTCGGATCTGCCGAGAGGTAATTCAATGTGTTCGCTCTAGTTTTTAGCCTGATTGCTTATTTGTCTTGCGCTAGTCCAATCGGTTATGGCTCAGATCGTTCTTTGTCCTTCTAGCTTTCTTCCTTGGCTTGGATGACAACATCTAATAGATAAGTGGAGCATCCCGACCTCTTGTCTGCGGGCACTATTTTACTTTATTTCCTTATTTATTATTGGATCTTGTCGGGATTCAATCCAACACATTCTTGTACAATTATTGCTAAGAGAGGATTTTCTTATAATAAATTTTCCTAATTTCACGTGTCACATCGTAAAAATTTCATGCATTTACATAAAAATTTCACTAATAATAATTTTTTATTTAATCATGAAATTCCCACCTCAATTGATCGATTTCTCCTTGTAGCAAATAATAATAAAAAAATGCATTGTCTAATGCGTTATGAATATTATTTAGGTATATATATTATATGAATATTAGACACTTTCAATGCCCAATTGCATTGGTTAACTTATAATGTGACGCTATATAATACATTATCTTGTACATTACAATTGTTAACGTATAGATGTTAATGCACTTATAAGACTATAACAACAAATTGACATTTATAATACGTCAAATTATAATAAAATGTAAAGATTTCATAATTAGCTTAACCCTATAAGAAAATGCAAAAAAAATGTGTCAACTTTATGAAAAAAAAAAATCATAATTATAATTTTGCATTCAAAATAAACAATTATTCGATACATATCTACTTAAACACTAACACCTGCCAAAATTTTTGTTTGATGAAGTAGTGCCTCTCGAGGGTCGCCCGAAGTTATTCACAAGAACGATACATTTTGTTGTTTGGAATCTCGTGGAACGTTATCTGTTTGGCCAACAAGCATTTCCAAAGAACTTCACTAAACAAAAAAAAATTGATTGAAACGCCAAAAGTTAATAAAGTTATGATATGATCATACATATTGAAGTATATAGTTTCATTGATATAAGCCCATTAAATCCTAATAATTATGATCAATCAATATACCATCATCATATTCATATGATTCAAATGCTCCATAATAAATCCAAAGTTATGATATTTATAAATTTAATCTTCACATAGCATTATATAGTCATGTCATATGATATATTTTCAACTCAATGCCTCACACATAATACCCCGAATAAAATTATCCAATTCAAAATAGAGGCGAAAAAATACTAATAATAATTAAATTAATTATTCAATTATAAATTCATTAATCATAAATATTTATAATTTGGCTTTCCATAATTTACACATTTACATATTTGCCTAAATTAATGAAGAATGTAAATAATAATTCTACAAAGTTGGAATAAATATTTGAAAAATTATTTCAAACGGACAGCACATATAGAAATACATGTGTGGTCCGATCTCAACCGTCGATCAGCCTCATATTTTTATAAAAAAATTAAAAGATTATAATTAACGATTGAGATTAGACGATGTATATTCCGTACGAAATAATTTCTCTATATATTGAGAGTCGAATTAAATGCGATTACATTACAATTAATATTCTGAAAAAAAATGTTGAGTAAGGGCTACGTGTTCATCAATGGCGCGTTACGGAGCTCGTGTCAACGAAAGGTAAGGGAGCTGCGGGAGCAACCAATAAACAAACAATTGACAGCTGTAACCCATAATTTATTATATTTATTCACTAATTATTTAAAGTCAAATATTTGCTTTTAGTGGACGGAGAGGAGTTCTATATAAACCCTAAGGCGACTGCAGATTTTCTTCCCCCTTCTCTACCCTTCTCCTGCTCTTGGTAAACCAAAATCAAAAGTTTTGGCTTTCTTCTTCTTTGTTTCTGTTGAGCTGCTTTTATAGAGAATATATTATTACAGGTGAGGTTTTGGGAATCAAAAGACTCCATTTTTAGGGAATGTTCATTTAATATCGATGGAATCCTTGCAGGCTTGTGATTGAAACTAGGGTTTTTTCTAAGTTTTTCTTATTTTTTTGGTCTGACGAGGTGTAAAAGTTCGATTTTTCTTCTTTGATTTGGTTAGACGAGCTGTGAAAGTTCGACAATGCAAAGTGCAGATCCAAAAGATTCTTCCTTTTTAAATGAGTTTTTCTAGCATATGATTCGGGGTTGGTTAGCGATGAATAGGATTCAGTGCATCCTGTAAATAAAGTTTTCTTATGTTCTAGTCGGCTTAAATCCAGTGAAAAAAAAGTATGCGTCTCAAATGATATTTTTGTAATTTATTGGACTGCTTGATGATATTTTCAAATTTTGTAATCCATAGGTTTAAAACGATAGTATGATTTTGCTGCCCAATAAACAGTATGTCAAAATTTAGTTTAATTTCAATCTAAATGCTGGCTAATCCTTGCACCCTACCAGCCCCTTAATCTGATAATTAGAAGATTATACTCAGCAGCAAGAACTTCAGCATGAAATTTCTAAGTTTTGTGTTTTTTGTCTCAGGATTGATGGGAATGATGTTTGAAGATCAGTGCCTTCAGGCAAAGCAGCCTAAGCATGACTGTGTGCTTTTTGGTAAATTCCTGTTCTGAATTTGATCTTATTTTCCTTGTTCTCATTCCTTAAATTGAGTTTCTTCTGATCACTGATTGTGCATGATAAATACAGATCTGGATGATACCCTTTATCCTTTGGCATCTGGGATTGCAGTTCATTGCAGGAAAAACATAGAAGGTATTTTAATATTTCTCTTAAATCGTCTGTGTTTAATCAACCTACTAATCGTTCAGATTTCATTTCATTTATTTCACATATTTGATACTAACACATTGAACTCATCTGTTTTTCCTCGCTTTTTGATGATTTCTTGATTGTTTTATATATATATATTCTTGTGCTTTAGATTACATGGTCGAAATGCTTGGGTTCGAACCGAGCAAGGTCTCTGAGATGGCTGGTCTTCTTTACAGGATTTATGGCACCACCATGGCTGGTCTTAGGGTATTTTAATTTGTCTAGTCTTATTTTTACAACACATACTTTCTCTATCACTCTGTAATTTAATTTGGTTTAAATTTTTGTCGTTGGTTTTGCAGGCAATCGGCTATACATTCAATTATGATCACTACCACAGGTTTTTTAACTCCCTTATCCCATCCAAAAATCTTTTCTTTCTGTTAATCTTTTGCTTAATCTTTTTCCTTCCGTCTTAAACAGCTTTGTTCATGGGAGATTACCTTATGATACGCTTAAGCCAGATCCTGTTCTCAGACAACTTATATTGAGCATTCCAGTTCGTAAAGTGGTGAGCTTTGATGTAACTTAAAGCAAGCTGCTTCTCAAAATCTGTTGCTGTCTATTGTTCTTTCAAGCTAAATCCCTTTTTTTTAAACACTTCCTGACATAGATTTTCACAAATGCCGACAAAGTCCATGCTGCTAAAGTTCTAAGCAGACTGGGTCTGGAAGGATGCTTTGAAGGAATAATTTGTTTTGAAACATTGAACAGAACAGACGAGAACTCTTCCTCTGATCAACTAACTTCCCCCATTAAAGCCAACATCTTTGAAGATTTATTGAGACCTCCTCCAAATTTTGAACAACCCAAAACTCCAGTTCTCTGCAAACCATCTGAAACAGCCATGATCCGTGCTCTTGAGATTGCAAAACTTGATCCACAGAGAACCGTGAGTGCTGTTTTAACAAATTACATAGCTAACATTGTATCATAAGTTGGGGCTAATTGATGCAATTGTCTCCAGATTTTCTTTGACGATAGTATTCGAAACATTCAGGCGGGCAAGCGGATCGGTCTCAACACTGTGCTGGTAGCTTTCTCTTTCTCCAACTACTGTTTTCTTTGACATGAACACGGAAAATGGTTGTGTTTTGCTGATGAATGTTGATGCAACAGGTGGGTGCTTCACTGAGAGTGAATGGAGCTGATCATGTATTGGAGAGCGTTCACAATATTAAGGAGGCTTTGCCGGAGCTGTGGGAGGAGGCGGATGAGAGTCGAGGTGGTCAGCATGGCAGTGAGGTTGTGATCGAGATGCCTGTGTCTGCTTAACTTTGATGATGTGAAGATAACATGAGAATGGAAATTGCTGCGGTTCTATTTGTTCATTCTGTATGTTGATAGTCTGATGGATGGATGCTCGCGTGTAGTTTTTTTGTTGATGCAACACGTGTAGCTTCTGTAATTTGTATTTCAGATGTAAAATTCTAATTTTTCACCATTTTATGAAATGCAACCTTTTAAATTATGTCATTCTCTTAATGTCCTACTAGTGCTCTTTTGGTTTCAACATTGATGTCTTGTGTTTGTACATCTAAGCATTCTAGAGGTTCTACAACATGAACTAAAATTTGAAATAGTTGTATTTTAGATTTGACATGAAAGATTGAGTGGTATTTAGATGTATAAATGCATAACAATTGGATGGTACGAATGTAAATGTCCTATTTCAAAATAAAAGCAAGCCATATTATCAAGAAACAACACTATGTGGTGATTGAACATACATGCAAGGGTCCCATTTCAACGTTTTCTTTTCACTGATAGTCATGACATTGACCACACGATATTGATTAGCCGGCTAATATGCAGGATGGCGCCACATAAACTCTGGTGTGTTGTCCTCTCAATTTGAAGCTTGTCACAGGTTCATCTCTCACATGATGGCTTGGTAATCTATTAGGAAATTCCAAACGAAATTATTCCTAATTTCACTGCCGGATAATGAGATCCCACAAGATTCAATAAAATAGAAACGAAATTTAAATAGAAAGCATAATGAAGTCATTTAGAAAAAAAACATTAAAATTTTATGTGAAATAATTTGAGAACTAAAAAAATTATAGAACCGCATCATTAGAAATTTATTATAATATTCAGAAAGTTTTTACAGAGGATTAATACCAATTTTTTTCTACACATAATGAAACTTACAAGGCTCGCACTTCACAATCTTCCCTTTCTGATCTGATGCAAAAATCACACTAAATCATTGAAATTCATCTCTTTGACATTTTTCACATTTACCGGGATACTCATTGATCGAAGGAAGATACACCAAATCCTTAAAACATGCTCAACATCGGGATTAAAAACTGAAATCCAACGTAAACTACCGTTGACGCATATGAGCTCAAAGTTGGTGCAAATGCGCTAGCCTCTGTCTCATAGCACCCACTTATAAGGGGGCACATATGTGCCCATGGGCTGACGCATATGCCTCAGGTGCTATGTCTCAGGTGCTATGTCCATCAAAGTCAATCTCCACATACAGAACTATCTCCCACTTAGAGATTGACTTGCACCCAGAATCAGTCCTTTGTACCCGCACTTCCATCTAGATTGCCTTCATAGTCTTGTATTGTGGTCACATACCGTTGTGCGTCCCACCCTTAGTCTCAATCTTCATGAAACCCAACTGAATCCAAGGAGACTTCAGTTTCTCGTTAGTCACAATCTTCGTTAACATATCCGCAAGATTTTGAACTTCTTGTAACTTCTCCAGGAACAACTGTCAATCTTCAAGAAGAGGATGTTACGTTACATCAGCTGAATGTGCTTCTTTCTAACGTGAAAAACAACGTTCTTAACGAGATAAATCACACTCATGCTAATCATTATAGAGTTTTCCAATTTTACATATATAGAGTGATATGTTATGTGATATGAAAGATGCGGGTGGTAAAAATGTAAAAAACTAAGAATTGGATGGTAATACATAGATCTCTTTTCTATTTTAGCTATTCGATAACACCGACCGATTAGATAATTGAAGACACTAACCCTTTTAACTCCAAAATTACATATTTGGTTGTCGTTTTACATTTTGCATTGTTTGGGCTTTTCAGCCGTTGTGATGGTTGGTTCTATTCTTAGCCGTTCGATAAAGATGCCTTGTGATAAAACTAAATAAAAAGAAAAAAAGTTTAGTTCGAGCTCGAATAAATTATTAAATGGATATATTATGTTGCGGGAGCTTAGGATAGCTATACAAATCTAATAAAAATAATAATAATAATAATAATGATAATTATTTTTTATTTATATATTAATTTTTCTCAGATTTCACGTGTAATTAAACATTCTTTTACGCAAAAGCATTTTGGAATTCCGAAAATAGAATTACGAATGAGACACGTGGCGAACAGTGGAAAGTGGCGACGGGCAGTAACGGTAGGTCAGTTTGCATAAAGGTTGGGGTTTTAGCAGAAGGTAATGTTTGAGAGGGTTTTCGGTGAGCTCCTGTAGCTGGGGAAGATGGAGTGCGAGTAAAGGGAAGATAAAGAGATCTAAAAAAATATTCAAAATTCAATTTTTTTCTTACAAGTTATAGTTTTTGATGAAATGGGATCATAAAAGAAGAAAATTTGGCTATTCGATGAAGATCCGAGGTCATCTTCAGCAGTTTCTGATCTCTTACCACCTTACCTCGCCGGAGAACTCTTCTTTCTCCGACGATCTTTTGTTCGGAATGTAGCAGAAGCTTTGATTCGATTCCAAAATCCTTGGTAATTTGCATGTAATTCGGGTTTTATTTTATTTACGGTGGGATTTATTAGCTGCAATTTTTTTTTTTTTTGTTTTTGAACCCAAAACCATGGAGTATTGTTTGAAGATTTGTTAGGTATGGCTCATATATAGGAAGTTGGAGTTTCTTGGTGAAGAAGTGTGTCTTCTGGTGAAAAAGAGTGTCTCTTGGAATAAAAAGGGTTGGGGGGAGCGAGGGCGTGATTGTAATTTTATCTGTGGGTTTGTATATGTCTATATATATGTGTAACCCTATGTGATGAATATTGTAACTTTTCTAAAATAGTGAAACCGCCACTCCCTCCCGAGGACGTCGGCAATTCTTTGTCGAACCTCGTTAAACTCTGTGTTCTTCTTCTAGTTTGTGTCAATTCCTGTTTTATTCCACTTCAATTCTCATAAAAATTGGTATCAGAGTCAGATTTACTCTGATATGATTCTACTACGATCGGCAGAGACGACCAGGTGAGATCTCGAGGAAGCTTGCGAGACGGAGCCCCGAAGGGTTTCAACGAGCAGTTCGGGGCAGATTGGAGCAGGCGATCACGAATCACGAAGTTTGGTGCGCGATAGGGAGACTTCGGACGGTTAGCGAAGCAGTTTTGGGCGGACCGGGAGGAAGGGATCAAGAAATTTTCCCCTTGGCTGTAGGGAAGCGACGACGAGGTTCGCCAGTTTCACAAATCTTCGTGGCATTTTGCGACAGGTGGAGGTCAGCAGGGGGCAGGAGGCG